TTTCTCATTTGTTATTAATGTGGAAAAAAAATGTGCTTATGGATAAGAGAAATGATTCACCCATAATCATTCTGATAACTAAGAATCTGCGTTCAATTCATTGATAATGTGTATTAAAGGAGATAAAGATGAATTGTTAAAAAGTGAATCAATTCGTTTTAACAAAACCTCAGAGGATTGGAGGATGGATGGGTGGAGATGCTTTAATATTCTGTTCAGGATTTGACACCTGTCGTCTCCTTTTCCTCTCTTCCCTTTCCTTGGCGCACACTAGACACACTCTCTCTTTCTCGCCACCCCTTGTCCTTTCCTTTTCATTTTCTTTATTTGCTATGATTTCTCTCTTCTCCACTCCCTTTCAAGCTCTTTCAACTCTCAACTCAAACAGCTAGATATTATTATTGTATTGTGCAAGTGAAAAATGTTCTAAAAAAGAAGTCTTTACAATTGATAATCACATCTGAGCTGTTGTTTTGCGTATGGTAAGCAAGACCCGTCACTTTTTTTGGCCATTTTTTAAAATTGTTTATTTGATCTTTTTTCCATGGCTAACTCTCAGGTGTTAAAAGGGTCTTTGCAAGATGCAAGAAAAAGAGAGGGGAAAGAAGGTTCTACCAGTTAGGAAATTTAGGTAGTCACTCCTTTCTTCTGCTTTTTTTTTTCTTTTACCTCTTTTTGTTGATGGTAGATTTATGGACAATTTTTTGAGAGAGTGAAATTAGGAGAGGCTGGAAGAGGTTGCCTTAGATCCAGGGAACTCTTGAATGATATGTGAAAAAGGGTACATCTTTTCTAGGGTTTTCCTGTGATTCTTGGTACATCACTTTTCCTCGGTTCTTTCTCATGACCCCTTTTTTACTCTTTTCTTGTGTATGGAGTTGAGGGGTTGGTTTTCTAATTGGATTTAATTTTTGTTTTCTTGTATGTTTAACTAATCTTTTGTGGATATTGAGTTTTCTCGTTTCTCGTTTTTCCTCTCTTAGCTGTAGTTGATGGAGTTAGATATCGAAGAGTCTAGAGAAAAAGTTGAAAGGGCATAATCAAGGTCTAAACTATCTATTTTGGGTTATCATTTCCACAAATGGAAGTTTGGATCCACTTTTGTTGACCAGATCTGACTAACCCATTTCCCTTTCTCTGCCTTTTTCTAGTTTACCCACAATCTGTGTCTCCTGACGTCTTCTTTTTGGACATATCAACTTCATTAAGGCATGGAAAATGGTCTGTTAACGCCTACCATTCACATTCCATCATCATTCTTTACTAGAGAAGGAGGTGGTAGATTATTTGAAATATGACAGGTGGTGTGATTTTAGAGGGGTTGAAGAGTAACTTTTTGTACTGCCCAGAAAGGGATTTTGATGGAGGAGATGTCTCTGCCGGTTGCAGTGCCATTTAGAGTAGGTAATTCAGTCTCTGAAAACTCGACCTTAGCTACCCGTTTGAACATCAAAAGAATTACAATTATGGCAAACCCTGTTGGTCTGTTATCTGATTCTGCAACAAAGGCAACTACCCAGTCAGTTGCTGAAGAAGATATGGGTTGTGACTCTGTTGAAAAGGAGACTGAAGAAGTGTCACTGAGAGAAGAGGGCAAGGGAACGGAAGCTCCTTCGTTGGACTTGATAGCTGATGGTAAAGATAGTTGGATTGCTAGTGATGATGTTATTTCCAGGAAAAGTGAGGATGATTCTTTGTCATTGGAGGGTGATCATATTCTTGATAGCTCTTGTTCACTTTCAGTGGTGAGTGAGACTAGCAGCCTATGTGGAGAGGATTTCTTGGGTTTTGAGGCTATTTCAGAGGTAGGAACGCTAGGTTCTCTAGATAATGAGAGGAGCATTTGCAGTGTAGATATTATTGCAAAGACCACTGATTTTGTGGAGTCAAATGTTGAGACAGAGATTGCAAGTGATCCCCACGCTGCGACGCTAAGCCTTGAGGAAGATATTGGAAATGGGTCTCTGATACAGAAGCAATCTGTAGTTGTTCTTCAATTGGCAGTTGAAAAGGGAACAAGCACAGCAGTTGCACGGAGTGTGTTTGAGTTGGAATATGTTCCCCGTTGGGGATTCACATCGATGTGTGGAAGGAGACCTGAAATGGAAGATGCAGTTGCAACTGTGCCTTATTTTCTGAATATTCCAATTCAGATGCTAATCAGTGATCAGGTGCTTGATGGCATGAACAGGACCTTCAATAATCAAACCACCCATTTCTTTGGGGTCTATGATGGCCATGGAGGGTCACAGGTACAGTTTTCTCATGCTTGTGGATTGTCCTATGTAGCTCTAACCATTACAAACCAATCTTACATGGTATATCCTGATGCCAGTAATTTCTTTCTTTGTGTTTGCTTTTATACAGGTAGCAAACTACTGTCGTGACCATGTCCACACTGCTTTGGCAGAGGAAATAGAGTTTGTTAAGAAATGCCTAGGTGATGGAAGTGTGACAGATAGTTGCCTGGAGCAGTGGAAGAGGGTATTCACCAATTGTTTCCTTAAAGTTGATGCTGAAGTTGGAGGGCAAGCACGACGGGAACCTGTTGCCCCTGAGACTGTTGGCTCTACTGCTGTTGTTGCACTTATTTGTTCTTCTCATATTATTGTAGCAAACTGTGGAGATTCAAGAGCTGTTCTATGTCGTGGGAAAGAACCCATGGCATTGTCGGTTGATCATAAAGTAAGATAACTTTAATTGTAATCTTGCATCTTTCTGTAAATTGTAATGTGTGATTAACTCTGCGAAACTTATGCTCTTATGTGCTACTTTTGTTTATGTTTCTTAAGCCAAATCGAGAAGATGAATATGCACGGATTGAAGCAGCTGGAGGCAAGGTTATACAATGGAATGGCCATCGTGTTTTTGGAGTTCTTGCAATGTCAAGGTCCATTGGTACATGTTTCTTAAAAATAACTCTTTTCTCTTACATTGTCTTGTTTTCGACATGGTTTACATTTCTCAACAGGGTTTGGGGTGTGGGAAAGGTGCTTTAGTAGTGTAATGGAGATGTTTCTACTCCTGGGAAAGGATTCCTTTTTGTGCCCCATTTAGCTTACTAGCTTGTGAGATGGGATTTGCTTGCATAATGCTCTACCTACTAAACCATAAAATTGCGTTCATGAGAATTTTTGGAGAAGCAAAACAGATTCTGCAACTGGTGTTCTGGGACTTTTAACTGGTTGGTTGAATGAGATGGAATTTGCTAGCATGACTAGTTGGTTGAATGCTTCATTCATCCAACTTGACAGACTGTTGTATTCATGCAATATTAACATTCTGGAAAATGCATTATTGATTATTGAGTCTTCTTGTATCAGATTGCTGCTTGTGGGTTCATATAAATATTAACTAGCTGACATTAATGAAAATTCCAAACTTTGCTATTGGGTTGCAGGGGATAGGTACCTGAAGCCATCGATCGTTCCCGAACCAGAAGTAATGTTTATTCCGAGAGCAAAAGATGATGATTGTCTCATTCTTGCGAGTGATGGTCTGTGGGATGTCATGACAAATAAAGAGGCATGTGACCTGGCAAGGAGACGAATTCTTCTCTGGCACAAAAAGAACGGCATTACTGTTACTCCAGAAAGCGGTGAGACTGCCGATCCTGCTGCTCAAGATGCAGCAGAATATCTATCGAATCATGCTCTGCAAAAGGGTAGCAAGGATAACATCACCGTGATTGTGGTGGATCTGAAAGCACAAAGGAAATTCAAGAGTAAAACATGATCTACTTGACCCTCCTTTGGTCCAACATTCCCTCTAAATACGACATTTTCTATATAATCCACTATATAGTTTCTGCCCATTTATTTTTCACCTGGGAATTGTTTCTTTATGATATATAGTCTAAATCTGTGTGTAGTAGCATCATAGAACACAAACCATTCAAGAACCTCTTCATTACTTTGAAGAAATCTTGATGCGCGCCACGCTGATTTCTAGCGATGTAAATCTATAGCTGTGCTTAGGTGTAGGAGATTATGGCAGATCCATGCTTTTGACATTGATGGTCAATTGTATTTGTTATATGCCTCCGAGTCAAGTCACTCAGGGAGGGTTCCTTTTGCTCTGTATTTTGCTTGTAAGGAATTTGGCTAAATTTGAAAGACGGTAGGTCGTTCTTGACCAGGTTATTACTACCAGTCCATTTCAGTTGAGGCTTCCGATTATTTTGCTTGCAATAACAATCTTTCCTATTTGTAAGAACAGTTCCGGTCGAATAGTTTTGTGTAACCATATTTATTTTAATTGTCATTCATATGTTATATAAAAGTATTATCTTGGGTGTAAAAGGTTTTAGTAACAACTAAAATGAAATGAAAGTAGCAGGTCTCTAGCAAACGATGAAATATATGTATATATATTTACAACCTCGTGTACCAGCAGCTCTCGCGTGCATTATTTATAATATTAGTGTAGCAGGATATAAACTATAAAAGCTGTAAAAGCCACTACTTCTTGAGAACGGGAGAGAAACGGGGGAGATGAGCTAGAAGCTCATCCTAGTAGTCTTCTCCGTATGCTAGCTCGATCACAGCATCAGCCAGATCTTCCTCATTTTGGATGCTCTGAACCCACTTCGCGTTGATGTGGACCCTTTCAATGCTTTGCTTGATGGTTCTGGCAATTGAAGGCTTTGTCCTGGGTGCAAAGAACTCCTCAACCTCCTTGGCTTTCTCAAATGAAGCAAACTGCGAGGACAGATAAGAGAAATGACAAACAAAGAAAAAAAAGAGGGAAAATGTGAAGGGTCCCAAAAATTCACGCATTAAAGCATGGGCACAAGGGAGGATCTGAGAGAAAACTGAGAGCTGGATACTAACTGGTGAGACAACAGCACTGACGAAGCGAGTTATTAGAAATCCAGAACCATAGGTTTTTTCGATATGGTCCCAGTTGTCCTGTATTCCAGTCATTAGAAAGAGAAAAGATAAGTAACAGACATTAGTGAGAATATTCTTGCATTACATAGACGAAACAATAACATGGTAAACTGAATAACTGACAAGGGCTAAGTGCCAAGATTGCTTAATAGCATTTCCCTTAATTTTATAAGTTTACTACTAATTCCATCAAGATTATGTATTGCTAAGCGATAAATCATAGAGTAGCATCACAAGTTTTCGAACGGTCAAGGCATGATTTCTAGGCAAAGTTGGGAAATTATAGATTATTCAGCAGGTACCTCCCTTTCTTTCTGATTATTAGCAGTTTGCCCATACATCTAATGACGTTCTAATCAAATATATAACATGCATTCCTGATGTATTAAAATTTCTCTACGATGCTTAGAAGAAGTATATTTTACCTTCAACCATTTCCAGGCAGTTTCACGTCCTTCCCTACTGACATAAAGTCCAAACACAGCATCTTGGCTGCGAACCTAAAATAAATGGGAGATGAATGAGGGAATATCATCAAATTTTCCAAGAATGCAGTTTATCATTCTAAATGTTAATTATCAAGATAAAAGTTAAAATACCTCAGATGATAACAAAAAGTTGAGAACTTCCAAAGTAATACCCTTATCTGGACAAGACGCTAACGCACCTACACCAGACAAGGAAAAATACATAATTATCAAAAACCCAGAAACTAGATTCTTATGCAACACATTAACAAATGATTTATCAGTACTTAGAATGCGAGTTTTCTCTTGGCTTAGATCAGTCTCTCTATAAACTCTCAAAAGAGATTCAAAACCCGATCTGTTTGATGTGCTGACTTTCTGCATTATAGCTACGTATGCTGCCTGCAAGCATCGTGAATATATATAGTAAATGTAAGGTCTTAGTTAATTGATTCATATTCTTCTAATACTTCCCAATTGACAACCTTTCTTGTATCAGGAGGGAGAAGGGGTGTGTTTCTGTCATTCAAATATACTTGAAACCTTCTACTTGCTTCATTCAGTGTCTCATCATCCTCAAGCTCAGCAAGAGCAGTCAGAATTTCTCCTCTCAACAATGCATCCAGATGACTCTCCCCTTTCTTAGACTCCCAACCAAGTCTCCTGTTAGAAAATTCAAACATAAAAGAGAAGAATTGTAACAGCAAGAAAAAGGAAAAATAGGGTTTCACCATACAATGCTTTGTACTTTGGATCTAAATGTATAATGCAAAAATACGTGTCTATTTTTCTTTCTTTTGGCTAAAATCAAGTGTCTATTAACATACTAAGACTGATATCATATCTAAATAACAGACATCAAGACAACACTAAACATGCCCATAAATAAAGACAGCACTAATCATGCAGCAGACATGGCCCATGAATGCCATGTTTCTAGTGATTCATATTTAAAACAAACTTACTCAGCAGAATTCCGGAAAAGGTTTATAAAAAATTGTCTAGTGTTGTCCGCTAACTCTGGTCTTGCATCTGCTACAATCCTGTCAACTTTCAAACTTGTCTGTGAAACAAAAGAACCATAGTCAGGAATATAAACAAAAAGGAAAATAAAGTCCAACAAAAGAAAGAGGTGAACATTACACTAATCAAGTTAGAGAGGACAGTATAGTCAAGCTCCTCTGTGTAGGCACCCATCAGGGCAAGCAAGGAAGTCAAAGGTTGCTGGCACGCCATACAAAGTGCAAAAGAATCATCCAGAATGCCTGTCGATGGAAAATGTAACTTCAAGCTCTCAATTTTACCACTTGAGACATAAAAGAAAAGTTAATATTCAAAATACCAAATCTGTCTGTTGCAGTCAACTCTTGCCTCTCTATTGCATGTCTAAGTTTAGCTGCAAGGTCCTCGTCATATTTCACCCTATAGAAACCAGTTTGGTCCACATTAAGCTTTATCCAAGAACATGCAGCTACTGAGCAACCTAGGGACTCCTCCATATCCAGAGTTTCAGACTTAGTTTGCAACAGGAAGTTCTTTTGCTTGTCATATGAACCACAACATAATGTTATGGGGATAATCCATTGCCCCTCACCAGAAGAACCGCTAGACAAAAATTGTGACTGCAATTATTACAGTAATCATTAGAACAAACTTTCAAAATAACATAGAAATGAAACTGGCATGTAATACCACAACTGGTACACATTTGATTCAAGAAATATCATTTTGAAGTTTTAATTGCACAAACTCAAAAAGGATCAGACAAGACAAAACCTGCTCAAATTTCAATTTCTGATCTTTGGCTTTGACAGAGACAACAGGATAACCCTTCTGCTTTGTCCATGAATTCATCAGCTTTTTCACAGGTTCCCCAGATCCCTCTTCAAGGGCTGCCCATAAGTCTTCTGTCTTTGCATTTGAGTAAGCATGTTTTTTTATGTATGAAGCAAGTGATCCCTGATTGCAGAAATGATTCACAGGTAAACAAAATGAAATTATCATAAAATTTTAAGAAAGGAATAAGAATGATTCATCAACCAAAAGAAAAAGACCAATAAGGAGAACACAACTTAGACCCACTTGGAGAAGGAAACACGTCAAAGTAAGAACCAGCCATACCTGAAAGGGTTTAGCCCCTAGATAGCTTTGTAGCATGCGAATAACTGAGGCACCCTTTCTATAACTTATTGCATCAAATATCTCATCAACTTCACCAGCATGATTAATATCCACCTACAAATAACAATACTTTTTAAGATATATTGGTCTAGGAACAAGCAGTTACATCAATCCTCTAACGGGAGAAATATTGCACTAGATGCTGATTCTACCTCAATAGGATGGGATTCTTGAAGCCCATCCAACCTGAGACCCTCTGTTGTTTCAGCAAGAAATTGAGTCCATATTTTCCACTCTGGAAACAAGCTATCAGCTGCCAAGTAGCTTATCTGAAAACAGACAATCACTTAAAATTACATTTCTCTAACACATGCTCCATAGCAAAATCAGGTACAAAACTCAAGAACCATACCCATGTTGCAAAACCCTCATTCAACCACAAGTGTGTCCACCATTCCATTGTTACAAGATTACCAAACCACTGGTGTGCCAGCTCATGAGTCACTACAATAGCAACCTTTAAAGAAAACCAAGTCAAATAGTCAAACATTTTGTGCGCTGGGAACAAATCCAAACAATAATACCAACACAGGAACCACATTACCCTCTGTTTGTTAGCAGCTGCAGAATGCTGATCATCATAGAGCAATGCTGTTTCACGGTACGTAACTAAGCCATAGTTCTCCATGGCCCCAGCTGCAAAATCAGGGATTGCAATCATATCCAATTTGGGAAGAGAGTATGGCACAGCAAAATACCTGTACAAGTTAGCTAGATTAGTTTGATATTGAATACCAAAAAACAGAACATAGACTCATCTCTGAATGAAAAGACCATAAAATGAATTATTAAAGTCTCTGGTTTCTTGTCTCTGTCAATTGGAGACATGAAGAGCATGAATAGTGAGCAACATATCAAACATTATATGCTTGCCAAACATACTCTTTATATAATTCAAGTGTCTTCACAGCAACATGCAGAGCAAATTTCCCTTGATTTGCCTTCCCAACTTGAGAGTACACTCGAACTTTGACCCCTATGCAAAGATGCGGGTAAGTATAGAAGAAGGCCAGTTTACCATAAGAGAGTGAAGAAATAAAGTATGATGATACCATCAGATGTATGATCTTCCACATAATCAAACAAACCAACAACAACTGCCACCAAATATGTGGACATGATTGGCGATTCTTGATAGGAAACTGTCTTCAGAGCTCCATGCACCTTCTCCTCACTGACTGGCATGTTTGAAAGGGCCACCAGTTCAGAAGGCACATCTAAAGTGATCTTGAATGTAGCCTGTAGAAAACCTGAATAATATATTAAAGTAATGAACTCAAATGGTAATATAAATGGGTAAAGCAGGATCCTATATCTGCATGACCTTGCAAGCAGGTTCATCCCAACATGGAAAGCATCGTCTAGCCTCAACAGGCTCAAACTGTGTAACAGCCATGTTCTTCTTCTCACCATTATGCACGTAAGTACTGCATATAAGTACATCAAGAAATTCATAAATAGAATTGAACTGAATTATGAAAATCTAAAATTACATACAAAATGAGTTTCCCTTTTTTGACATTTCCTCATCAAGCAAACAAAAGCATCAGTGAATTACCTTCTATAGAACCCCTTCATTCTGTCATTCAAGATCCCTTCAAACCCGATGGCCAAGACTCCCACTCCAATCGGAAGTGTTTCAGTAAATTCCAGCACCAAAATCCCATCTTCATCAATCAACTCAACTTTAGATGGCTGGAACACCTGTTCATTGGATTCAAAAAACAATGACAAACACACCATTCAGTTGAACAACACCCACAAGCAAGAATATACATTAAAAGATCAAAAATGCTGAATAAAATATAACATAATCAAATTTTTCTTCAGAACAAAGATTGATATGCTGATGCTTAAATTAATCAGCAAAAAACAGTAATAAACAGAAGAGAAAGTTGCAGAGATCGGTGGTACCTTAGAAGACCTCCGGGGAGAAAACGAAACGGAAGCGTTGTCGATGGAGAGTTCGACAGCATTGAGGACGATGAATCGAGTATTGTCGACGATGTCAAGGTCGATGGCAACCGAACCTCCAAATTTGCAGGCGGAGAGGTCGGGTTTCAGGCGAATATCGTAGCGTTTCGGGACAGCGAACTTGGGGAGCCGTGGCTGGCCCTTGAATTCTTCCATTCTGCGGTATCTTCCGTGCGCAGTGAGTGGGAACAACTTAGCCACTCGAAGTATGACGCAGAGAAGTTGGTGAGTGCGCAATTTTATATATCGAAAAAGTGTTTTGTAGTCCGTCCTGCGTAAACTGCCCAACATCAACCCCATTGTTAGTGGAGACCGAAATGGGTTGAAGGTTGTAGCACCAAACTATTTATAGATGGTTTCGTGCTAACTTAAGAAGATTTGATGGGTGTTTAAATTATTTTATTGATCTAATTACTTATTTTTTATGTTTCAAAATAACTGTTATTTTATGATAAAAAAATGTTAATAATTACTTTTTTATTTATAATGTATATTTTTATAAGTTAAATTCTTTACTTAGATAATGGGCTAAAAAGGATATATTTAGCCCTTTATCTTATTAAATTTCAAATTTTTATTCTTTTATCTTATATTATAAAGTTTTTAACCCTTAAAATTAAAAGTTTAAAAATTTTTACTCTTAAACTAACATAATTCATTAACTTTCCGATAAAGCAAGAATAAAATATTTATGGTATCAATCCTCAAAGGTTAAAAATGTAACAATTTAGTTCTAAAATTTTACAAATTTTAAAAACTAGTAAACTAAAAAAAATTAATGGATAATTTTCTCACATACATTAAAAAAATATTAAATATATGTAATCAAATTGAATGATTAACTTAATTTAAAGAAAGAATTCTGATTGTGAATAAAGAAAATTTATTAGCTAAATTAAAATAAAAAGTACAAGAGATCAAAAAAATACAGTTAAAAAATTTTCTTTAATCTCAATTAAATTTATTTCTTCAGATTCAGTTAATTGCTTAATTTGATTGTAGATATCTAATACTAGTCTTGTGTATATGATAATCATCCACTAATTATTTTTAATTTACTAATTATTTTTAATTTTTATTATTTTGAAACTAAATTATTACATTTTTAATATTTAAAAACTAATCATGTAAATATTTTATTCACCTTAATGAAGAGTTAACAGATTCCATTAGTTTAGGGGTTAAAATCTTCAAACTTTTAAGTTTAATGGCTAAAAATTTTATAGTATAAAGTAAAAGGCTAAAAACTTCAAATTTAATAAGATAAAGGACTAAATACATATTTTAGCCTAAATAATGAGTAGAATAACCTTTTCTAAACCATATAGTTGTATTTATTGATAACCAAGTATCATTTTATAGACTAAAACTAAGTTTATGGTTCATGTTTTGATATCAATACGAAAAAAAAATTAATTTCTTTAAATGTACCAAGATTAATGAAAAAAGTGTATCTTTAAATTTGTTAAAAAAAATTTAGTTTCAAAATATAAAAAATTTGATCTAGAAAGACCATGACAATAAGTTGAAGAAAAAAAAAAAAGGAAGGTTAAATACTAATTTTAATCCCTCAATTTTATAGAGTTGCACTTTTTTTGGTCCCTCAATTATTTTTTACACTTTTTTTATCTCTCAACTCTAAGAAATGTACAATTTTGGTCATTTTGTCAATTTGAGCCATTAAGTCTATCCACGTGACATTTTTTATATTTTTGAATGACATGGAGAAGACAACCTAAAAAGGTGCTGATATGGACAAAATATTATGCCATGTCATATTCATGTGAATTGAATGCGTCAAATCCCCTCAAATGAGTCCCATATTGCCCGCAAAGAATCAATAAAGGGTTAAAATGTTTGGAAACCCTAAAATGCTCTCTCATCTCCACTCCATCAAATTAACTCCTCAATAAACAATGTCAATCAAACCCTAATCAAATTCCAATATAAATGCAATTAAATTGTAAATCAACTCCCAAATTTATCAAGAACAGGAAATGGAATCGAAAGAAGAATAAAAAAAACATGGTGAACATGACAAACAAAGCTCTAAAGAAGAATGGAAATCAACAAAACCTAGCTATAAACCCAGCAACTAGGTTTCTTTAAACCTAGTAGTTGGGTTTCTTTGAACCTAGTCGATCCAGGTTCCACCAAACCCAACAGCTAGGTTTGATGGAACCAAATAGAGTTGGGTTTTGTCGAACCAATAGAACTAGGTTTTGTTGAACCCAACAATTGGGTTTGACGGAACTCGATGGACCTCAATCGATTTGGGTTCCATCAAACCCAACAACTGGGTTTTGTCGAACCAGCAAAGTTTGGTTTTGTTGAACTGTGCCGATTTGGGTTTGTTAGGTTTTCTTCCATTAAGCTAGAGGTCGGAAAAAGAAAGAAAGAGAAAGAAAGAAGGGGAAGGAGATGGATCAAGAGGGTGAGGGTTAATAATGTAATTTTGTTTGTTTTTATTTCTTTTTATTAAAATATAAATATTTATTTGATATAGTATTTTTATTTGTCTATGCAACATAATTGTAAGATATGTTATTGCCACATCATCAAAAGAATTAAAAGAAAATGCCATATGAAATTATTTAATAGCCATGTTATGCTTAATTGATGGAAGAACCAAAATTATGCAATTTTTAAAGTTGAGAGATAAAAAAAATGTAAAAAATAGTTGAGAAATTAAAATTGTGCAACATTATAAAGTTGAGGAACCAAAATTAGTATTTAACCAAAAAGGAATAACCTTTTTTTGGGTCTTAGTATTAAACTGAGAGGTTAAAATAAGGAATAAATAACAGCAGACTAAATGGAATATATGATAGCAATTAACAATGTCTTTGCTAATGGGTAATGGCGACAATGGCCAATCCATTTCAAGATTCTAATTCCAAACAAGGGAAACTATTTATCACAAATAACTTTTAAAAGAAAAATTACTTTGATTAACTTTGAGGAAACTTAGAAGATTTGAGGGGTGATTAAATTATTTTATTAATCGAATCACTTACCTCTAATGTTTCAAAAAATAACTATTATTTTATGATAAAAAATATTAACTACTCCATT